AGGAAATGATCCATTCGGATTGGCAGAAAGTCGGACTTGTCCATCCGGTTCTTTCAATAAACGCTTATTTGAAGATACAGGTGTACAAGGCTGTGCCGGTCTCTGCGCCGCCGAGGGTCGAAAATAGCCAAGAAACTCACCAACTTTAGGATCAAAGCGACGAGGGTCAATAGATCTAGACAGATCTAGACGTCCAGGTCACTAGAGGGTGACAGAGAAGTGTTGTTGCTGTGCGCTTGCTTGACGTCGAGATGATGCCCAGGGTTTCTCGACATTTCATTTTCAACCTGAAAGCATTTGGTAATTTGGTCGCATCAGAAACCGAAAGAGGATTAAATGGCGAGGAGTAAAGAGTGCTGAATTGTGCACAAAATTACTCGTTTCACCGTTCGGCGACTCTGGCAAATCCGAGCAAAGTTTATGCCTATCCTTCGGGGACAGACATCGTGAGACCGAGAAACTATACTCCAGCAAAAACGCACCAACATATTAAAGCAAGAAAATAGGTGGCCGCGCGCACTTCAAGACAATCCTCGTCTGATTTCCGATTAGACGCATCCGCGAATTTTTTCAAACTACCCTTTCAAACTCGAATCACATTAAATCCCAAAGGCATTTTGGGAAATCAAGCTTATATATACATACCAAATAGAACAAAAGAAACAAAAAAGCATAGTTTATCATCCATATTTGGTCACTTAAAATGAATACAATTGCATTTTCCTTAATCTTGCCTCGCAAAAGGCTCTCTCATCCAGTATGGAATACTACTACGAAAACTACTTATAAGGCAGAAAACTTGCACTGCTACAGAAATTATTTAACCCTGTTTTCGCAACTCGGTCATATTGGCAGGAAGACTTAGAGGAACGCACCTTGTCCGGAGTCCATTGTATGTATCATCATTTCCAGAGTAGGACCATGGACGTGGTACATTTCCAGATGTTTTGCCGGCATCGTCAGTAAGTCTAGCCATTCTTAGCACCATTCAACAATTCATCATAGGGACAAGAGTCCCTTCTACGACTACGATGCCGGCGAAACGTCTGGGAATGCACCACGTCCACGGTCCTACTCTGGAAATGATGATGCATGCAATGGACTCCGGACAAGGTGTGTTGCTCTAAGTCTTCCTACCAATATGACCGAGTTGCGAAAACAAGGTCAAACAACTTCTATACAACGAAGGGAGACTGCGACCACACAAAAGGCCACACCATCTTGGTCTTCATACTCTTGATTACACTGCAACAGTTTGGTATCCGTCGGGCAAAGCTAGATGGGAATACTTTTCGGGAAGGTAAAGTGAAATTAATTGGCCTCTTGGAGTCTACTCATGGCATTAATGGCTAATTAAATGCAAACTAGGCGAAACCTATTCTATAGGAATAAAAGTTATTGTACGTGTGTATGTCAGGGTACCAAACCACAGAGGGTCATTCAAGTTCAATGAACCAAAGAGAGACATAACTGTGATTGCGTAATCACAAACGTAGATGGGTATGGGCTAAAGAGCTTATCAGGTGGGTAGAACAAGTGTGATTATGATTATCATCCAACTTACATACGAACATATTTTTACTCTCTCCTTCTCTCTTATATACACACACTCCAATAGACAGATCAATGAATAAGCATTGTTGCCCCTTTCATTTTGTTGGCAAGTGTGGGTGAAATAGGTTCGTAAATGAGCATTATAAACGACAATTATAAATGTCAACCAGCAACTTTTCTAACCAAATCTTTGCTCTAACTAATTTAGGCTTGCATTACTACATTAACTTAGATAGACATAGAAAACAATTAATCAAGTAATGTCAATTTTTAATCCACTTCTTTTATGTGGTTACTGAAAGACGACTTTTTAGTCTCAGATGTTGTAACTACAATGGTCTGATACTCCGTTGTCAACTTGACATGAAATGCAAACGATCCCCACATCTGATTCAATCAACTGAATCAGGCCTGCATCAGCAAATTGATCAAGTTGTCGGGAAAACATGAAGGAATCCACTTGATTTGGCGTCTTGAAAATTCCCAGAGTCTAACAATCAATTTAGTATCTGTTCCAGAAGTTGCGTCGACTCTCTTTTACACTGTCAACGAGCCGTGTAATTCTTACCGTTCAACTACAACCAACTGTTCGCCGAACGTTTCATAGCCTCTCCTCCTCCCCGTTCACAATCGTAACTTGCAACTACTCCATTTTCATACACTCCAAATGTGTGCCCATTTGAGCTGATCCACTTGAGCGGAGAGAAGTTCACAATTACGCAATCGCCCTTCCTCTGTTCATTAAGACCTAATTAACCGGTATTGACGCTACACTCTGCTACGCTTAATCTGCTTTCGTAGCCTAGTTTAATCACACATACACACACACACTCACACACACACACACACACAAACATATGAAAGTTGCCATAGTGAAGGAAGAGGATAGGATGATATACTATTCCGTGGAACGTTTTTCAATGGATGGAATTCACTTATGAGAAATATTCGTCCTCTTTCGTGTAGGATGATGGGGGGACTGGCAGTTGAATTTTCTCATAATCCTATTAGTAGCCATGCCATTTGCAGTGCATCTCACATGGCCTCGCTTTCCCAAAAGGAGTGCTCATCTGTAGATTAGACTTTGCCCACAGCGGAACTCGAAGTAGGACGATGCAACGTGTAATCTCGACACGTTAACCACTAGGCACATTTGCACGAGCGCTCTTGGGTCACGGGGCAAGTGTGAATTGCAATTTCCCATATCACAACTGTGATGGGATTGTGGATGAAGAAAATGTCTATTTGCTACTGCACTCGACTAGGCTACTTTTTTGTTTATGAATAGGTTTTCGAGACTACCAGTAGATCATATCTATATGAGATATTTATCGTTTATCGCATCACACAAAATAGGATGATTACATCTAATAGTAGTCTCGAAAACCCATTTACAAACGAAAATGTATTTCACTTGTCCTTTTGACGAGTGGTAGGTTGGTGCCAACAAATGGTAAGACTAAAGGATGATTCCGAGTACGACGGCAAATCGTATGAAAATATACCATGCCTGACGCTGGAAATTAGCATAGCTACTGTGGCAAAGGACTCTGGACAAGATGCGGTCGTTATGGTCGCCTTGACAACACGATGAAGTTGCAAAAATTGCATCCAACTATGATGTGGTGTGTATGTATGTGGTATCCAATCTACTTGAAAGGAAGTAGAACAAATCACTCTTTTTCAGCATGCCTATTGGGACGTGTGCGAGAAGACGGCCGGCTTAACAACGTGGAAGACGGTCACCAACTCGGCGACCCAAACAGCGTCAGAGCGTTTCAAAAGGGGACAACTTCTCATGGCCAGAAGAGATGATAATAGGCAGTCCCTTACGAGGAAAACTAGCAACGACAACAGAATAACTTTACAATAAACAGAATCGTAAGAGTAAAGAAAGAAAAATAGCAACGCAGCCGCAATCGACTTACTCATTCCATCTCTTTGGAAATGCACATCAAAGAACCCTTTTTCGCTGGCCATTTCTCCTGCCGCGGCGTGGGCAGAGTAGCGTCTCGAGGGTCGAGGTACCACGACGAGAAGATGCGGCTAAAGCTGAGCTGTGAAGGTGTTTCGGCACGAGACTATTTCGGACAGACAAGAAGCGCTGATTGCGACGCGACACGACGCAAGCCTCCGAGGTGACAACGAAGACAGCTTTTTTCCGGTTGGTAGAGCCAAAGAGAGTCTGGTTATTTGAGGGATGCGCGAATTTTTCGACAGAAATACTGCTTGTAGTCGGGCCAATAAGCATATTACTCTCTCTCTTGCTCTCTTTCATTCTCTCGCCCCTCCTTCTACCTCGCTCTCTCTCTCTCTCTCTCTCTCTCTCAGCCCATACCACCGACATCTCTCCTTGACTGGTCGAAATATTGAGAAGGCGGGGCCGTACAACTGTGGCTAGGTTTGCTTTATTGTGTGCGTGTGTGTGTGTGTGTGTTTGTGTGTGTGTGTGTGTGCATGTAAGAGGGAGCGAGGAGGTGAGAAGAGGCGCGCGAGGCAAGAGGCGAAAAGAAGCGCGTCTCGAGTTGAGTGTGAGGGCAGGGGTGAAGGCCGGAGACAGACGAAGCTGGTGGCATGAAGTTGTTGTCTCGCTGCTGCCAAGAGACCGGCGTGTCACACTAGCCGGGCGTGTGGCAGGCCCGTGGTCTGTCTTTATGGCCCCGTTTGCGTTGTGTTGCGTTGTGTTGTGTTGTGTTGTGTTGTGTTTTGTTTGCCTCGCCGTTGCGATTCGACGCACCGGGAACAGAAGGTCAAGCAGACGAGAGAGCAAGAGCCATCGGTTTCTGGTTCATCCATTTCATACGCCTCTCCCCACCACCATCACCACCCCATAAAATGTCGGTCGAAGCTGAAGGCACAGTTTCACTTGTCCCGTTTCCGGTAGGCCCGAAAACAGTGCTGGGACCAGCGCCTCGCAAGACCCCACGAGAGGAGGTGGGCAGTCGGAAAATGCCGAATCAAATCGAAACCTGCGTGTCGAGTTGAGTAGTCTGTGTGTGTGTGTGCATCAAAAAGAGGGAATGCGGGGTGTGTGGGGGCCAATGGGTGCAATGTGATGGCATGAAGAGGCCAGCTTACCGATCTCACAGGCCGGCTCGACCGTACATGAGCGCAAAGAAGCCAAAATGCAGGATCCGGACACGATGTACGGACATGTCGAAAGAGAAAAGTGCAAGCAGACACAGATCAAATACCCTTCAGATGGCGC